ATCCATTAGCTATTCTTCCTGAGGCAGTCTCTCCTTCCTCTGCCCCACCCTCCAACAGGCCCCAGTGTGTGTTGTTTCCTCCCATGTGTCCTTGTGTTCTCATTATTCAGTTCCCACTTGTAAGTGAGAACATACAGAATTTGGTTTTCTGTTTCTGTGTTAGTTTACTAAGGATAATGGCCTCCAGCTTTATCCATGTCCCTGCAAAGGACATAATCTCATTCCCTTTTATGGCTGCACAGTATTCCATGGTATATACAGAATACATAGTATTCCGTGGTATATACGTGATATATATGGTATCAGTATCTCTATCTAGTCTATCATTTATGAGCATTTAGGTTGAGTCCATGTCTTTGCTGCTATAATAGCACTACAATGAACATACACAAACATGTATTTTTGAAGAAAACACCGAGCCCAGTAAGATATTCCACAAGAAGATCATCCCTAAGACATTATTCTGATTGCCACATGGCACTTACTCCTCTCCCTTTCTATACAGCTCTCTTAAAATATTGATTAACAGCTTTTGCTAAAAATGTTGATTAACAGCTTTTGCTAACTTTGCTATGTCATTGCTAAAATATAGTTTTATTGAGGCTAGAGAAATTTATACTTCCCTAAGATTTGGAATGATTTTACATTATCGAATGGAATAAAATTAAAAAAGCAACCCTCAAAACCAAACACAAACTTAATGTATTGATTCTCTTTGAAATTATTCTAAATTATAGGTAGTTTGGGTTTATAAAGTAACATTGCATTAGAGAAAATTTTTTAATACATGAATAGGAAAGTCCTAAATGCCAGAATAGTAATATGAAAAAAATGATGATAACAAAAGGCTTTGACTTTGGTTTTGGTCATGTATTTGCTTTGGCCAGTAGGATATCAGCAGACAAACCTCAAGCAAGGAGTTGAAACATACTAGGATGTTTCTTCCATAAACATTAGCATAAAATGGCCTGGTGAGCTCACTTGTGTGTGTGTGTGTGTGTTTCTTTGCTTGTTTTTGTCCTTTGAAAATTCAGGTTTATACATATTAAGTTCTTGCAGGTAATAGGATTCTGATTAAAAGGCTCTATTGAACTGTGACTTATCTTTCTGCTTGGAATTTGCAAATGCTAATGAACTTACACATTTGTCTTATGTGCCTCACAGACATCCAGTTCTTTGCTCCCACCTGATTTCCAAAAGCAAAACAAAACAGAAACAAAACTTCTAGATCCCATGACTGGCCTGGAGTAGGGCTTATTTACTTAGCCAAAAATGTTCACCTCTGACAGTCACACATAAGTCCCAAAGCAAAGCTATGCCAGTCAAGATTCTAATGCAGGAGTAGCCTCCGCCTCTGAACTTGGCACCAGATTTGCCTTTATTATTAAGCACAGTTCTGTAGCTTGGCAGAGCACTCACTGAAGCCACCAGAATCAGTCTGCAAAAAATTGAAGAAGTTTTGTCTGAATCGTAGGTGAAACACAAAAAGACAGCCCTGGGTGAAAAAAACAAAATGGGGTCACAGCAAGAAAGGAAGTTTCCTCAAGTTACTAAAAAATCTCAAATACAATAAAAAAGTAAATCAAAGAGCTATAAAAGGATTTCTGAAGACATCAGTGCTTTAGTGACATGGCAGTTCAGTTTATTAGAACAGAGTGATAATGAGGCCAAGCTTTAGAGTCCTGATTGTCTTTCTTACTTTGGCTGTGCTCCAAGACCATGGACTTCACCCTTACCCCAAATCAGTAGCCATGAAATATTTGGTGTCAGTTACAATGGAACCAGCTGAAAGACTACTGATGGAATAGTGAAAATTCATCACTGACCACTGAAAAATGAGGTCAAGGTACAGGTCCTATTGGCAGAGCCTGTGAGAGGTTGAATAAACTCATTTCAGGAAAAGAACACAATGTTACAGAGCTGTGAAGATTTATCAGTTTGTCAGTTTTTTTTCCTCACTCTTCTTTGTTAATGTTGTTTCTTTAATAATTTATTTGCTAATAGTGAATATTTCATTATAGACTTCCCTGTGACCTTGTAATTAGGTTTCCTAAGGATAGGGAGTCATTCATATTCTATATGCAAGAATTTAAAAATGGCTGCTTAGTAGGAAAGACTTCATTTTTTATTTTTATTTTTTTCTAGTTTTATTTTTAATTGACAAATAATGATTGTATATACTTATGGTGTAAAATGTGATGTTTTGGTACATGTTTACAGTGTGGAATGATTAAATCAGGGTAATTAACACATCTATTATCTCACATGCTTACCATATTTTAATGATTAAAACTTTTAAATCTGTTGTTTTAGCAATTTCAAAATATAAAATGCCTTATTTATTACATCACCATTCTGTGCAATAATTTGCTAAAGCTTATTCCTTCTGTCTAAATGAAACTTTGTGCCCTTTGACTAACATCTCCCCTTTTGTCGTCTACCCTCTTCCCCCAGTCTCTGGCAACTGTTATTCTACTCTCTACTTTATGAGTTCAACTTCTTTAGATTACACTTATACATGAGATCATGCAATATTTGCCTTTCTGTGCCTGACTTATTTCACTAATATCCTCAGGTTCACTCATGTTGTCACAAATGACAGGATTTCCCACTCCATTTTAAGGCTCAACTATATTCTTATATGAATATATACCACATTTTCTTTATCCATTCATTTGATGATGGACACGTAAGTTGCTCCCATAACTTAGTTATTGTGAACAATTCTGCAATAAACATGGGAGTGCAAACATCTCTTTGACATACTGGTTTCCTTTATTTTGGGTAAGTACCCAGAAGTAAGATTGTTGGATCATACAATAATTCTATTTTTAGTTTTCTGAGGAAACTCCATAGTGTTTTCTATATGGTTGTCTTAATTTGCATTCCCAGCATCAGTGCATAAGAGTTCCCATTTCTCCACAACATCATCAACATTTGTTATCTTTCATCCTTTTGACAACTGTCATTTAACAGGTGTAAGGTAATGGATATCTCATTGTGGCTTTAATTTGTATTTTCATCATAATTAATGATTGTGAGCATTTAAAATATATATATCCCTTGGCCACTTGTATGTCTTCTTTTGAGAATTGTCTACTTTTGTTCCTTGCCCTTTTTTTTGATTAGGTTAATTGCATTCTTGCTATTTAGTTGTAGAAAATACTTTATTATTGGGGATGATATAGTGATAAGTTTTTATACTAATGAGATATACTTATTTCATATGTCAATTAAATATTTAAACACAAATTCTAAGTTATTTTTAACTTTGCTAATTGTACACATAGTTCTATACATAAAGGCTATTACCTGGATAAAAATATAACCCTTTATTCTAACATATGGGGTACCACAAAGTGTGAAATAAAACATGATGTAGCAAAGGTAATATATGTCAGTAATTTTTAAATATGTTACTTGCTCCTTACAAAACCGGTAATCCTATAATTGAGACTACGGTGGACAAAATAAAGTTACTCTAGGCATTCATAATTCTCTATAGAACCAAAAATTTTTTTTTTTTTTTTTTTTTTTTTTTTTTTTTTTTGAGACGGAGTTTCGCTCTTGTTACCCAGGCTGGAGTGCAATGGCGCAATCTCTGCTCACTGCAACCTCCGCCCCCTGGGTTCAGGCAATTCTCCTGCCTCAGCCTCCCGAGTAGCTGGGACTACAGGCACGCGCCACCGTGCCCAGCTAATTTTTTGTAATTTTTAGTAGAGACGGGGTTTCACCATGTTGACCAGGATGGTCTCGATCTGTTGACCTCGTGATCCACCCGCCTCGGCCTCCCAAAGAACCAAAAAATTTTTAAAAGGACCGAGCAAAATACTACTACAATGCAGAGAGTGGGGGGAGAGAGAAATAATGATTTAAATAGCTGTGATCATAAGAAACTCAAATTGTTTTCTCAAATAGTCTTCCTCCAAAGTGGCACTGGCCTGACCGTCCCCCAAATCTGGAATAAAACCCCATACCAGGGGCGTATACACACACAATCAAGTGGTCAACACACAGTTTTAAGCATTGAATAAGCTAAATGCCTCCAATAAACATGTGCCATCAAGGGGGAAATATAACTGATATAAATTATCATTATCAAGTTTCCTCATTATGTGCAGTTATTAAATAAAAAATCAACACATGATTATAAAATAGAAAATGAAGATGGATTCTAGAATGATACAGAAACAAAAAATAACTATTAAAGAATGAAGAAAAATTATCTTGAACAACAAATATTTCCGATCATTTAAACTGTTGTAAGAAAATTCTCATGGACATATTAAGGTCTAAGAAACCTAAGAGGAAAATATACAAAATGGAATATTAGAAACATATTTAAGTTTCTAATATTTTCTATTTGGAATTTGCCTCATGTTTAGTTAACCATCTTTATTTGCTTGATTTAGGTGAGAGCAAACTGTTGAAAAAAGAACACATAAGTGAAGAAACATTTTCATCATTCTGAAAATGATAATTTCCAGGTACCAGTGTTGACATTTAATAAGTGCTGGTTAGAATATATATATGATATTAGAAGTATTTTTTAAAGTTACTTTTAAAAGTCAGTAATTATAGAAAAGACATTAAAACTTCTACTCAAGGTATAAATATAATAAATGATCAAGTAGACTGAATCATGTAATTGTTTAGGTAATCACTCTCAATAAACTGATAACTTTCATGAAAATGAGTTAGTGAAAATGCCTCAACAAAAGTAAGAACACATTCAAAATGATTAGAGAAAGACAATGAACCAAATATAAGAAAAGTGACTTTTCAGTCAATAAGCAATCGTGGTAGAGTTTTAATGGTAAAACATATACAGTAAAGTATTTATACTGCCAAATAAAAATAATTAGAAATTCAAGAAAAGTGGTTTTCAAGTTAGCAACATAACAATAGAAATATAGAATAACTATCTGAAAGGGAAATATGTAGAATAGAATTACAATGTAAATGTCTATGCATATCTTTAATGGAAACATTTTACTCACATTTGGAGAACATATTTTCATAAGACTGTAAGAACAGTTCATTAGAAATCCTGTGAAAGATTTGACAAAGTAAAACTCTTAAAATCGCTTAGCACCTAGTTAGTAGAAAGTAACAATAAGAGTAAGAATAATAAAAAGGAATGATTTTCAGTATTGTTCTAGTCTCTTAGTGACTCATGAGACCAAATAATGACTTGGACAGATTTCTACAATCTTCTTTACCATATTTTTCTCATTTCTATAGAAAGAGTTATAGTATGTTCTGTTAGTCCATTTACTTTACTATAAAGGAATATTGAGACTGGGTCATTTAAAAAAACAGGTTTAATTACCTCTTGGAATTGCATGTTGTACAAGAAGCATGGTGCTGGCATCTGCTCCTGGTGAGACCTCAGGAAGCTTCCAGTCATGGTGGGAAGCAAACAGGGAGCTGGTGTGCATGAGAGGAACAAGGTGCCAGGTTCCTTTAAACAGCCAGATCTTACATGAACTAATAGTGTGAGAACTCACTCATTGTGAGGACAGCACTAAGCCATTCATGAGGGAATCTGTCACCATGACTCAAATACCTCCCACCAGGCTCCATATCCACCATTGGTGATTACTTTTCAACATGAGATTTGAAGGGGACAAACACCCAAGTTGAAAGCATCATTTGTTCTAATTGTGCTCAAAGTTTCTAACAGCACAGTCAGCCCCACACTGTCTCTATGCCCCCTGCCAGGCCTGCTGTGAATGCATAGAAACCCTGACTTAGCATTTCACCCAGAAGTATCACCCTGCAGCTGCACTCACAAAAGAGGATTCCGCACCTCAGAGAGTGTTATGAACCTAGCCACACATTGCTCCATGTATGGTCTGAACAAGCCCATTACAAAACAGAAAGTTATTCTGGAAGCACTGAAGCTTCAGTCATGGCCAGGCCCTCTGTTGACAGAGATCCCCTCACTAAGACTGAAAAGAAGGGTTAAAACCAGACAGCTGCTGCTGAAATCACGTGTGCAAGAGGCGATGCCCATTCAGCAGTTCTAGGATAAAACTTAATCTGCCCAGGGTTGTCATAGCAGCATTTTTAGAATAACATATAGGGGTATCATAGTGTTATTTTTAGAATAACATATCTACATAAATATAACAAAAACTAAATTGTCTGTATTTATTCTATATGATTTCTCTGCAAACCGAGTGAAAGCAGCCACTTTGCTTTATTCCACATTTTATAATTCTCCTATTCACTTTGTCCTTTTTGAGAATATTAAAACACGATCCACTTTCCTTCAATTTGTGTGGAGATGAGACTGGGATAGAAGTGCCATGTAGCTGACAGGTCATACTTTAAATTAAGTTTCCCAAATAAGAATTTAATCTAGTTTCAATAAAAGAGTTATTAACCACTTTTAATTAGGAAAAGCAGGACTGAATCTGGGGTACTTTCTTCAGCCTCCTAATGCAAGAAGTGATCATTAGTCACTGATGATATCAGGGCTTGTCTTCAAAGGACTGCAATACAGATGCCTACCAACAGAATCTCAGGAGAAAGGAAAAGGTTGAAATGAACAGCTCTGGGGATATTTCACAGATCTCAGTTTGACTTAATTTGCAAAGGCTCTATCTTGGTATCAACACATGGAGAGTCTCTTTCTGAATTGACTAACGCTTTTGGCATTTACAAAATAAAACCAACTAGGAGAACTCATTGCTAATAAAACTTATTTGCTATGTATGCCCATGTCCATTAGCAGGGTAGACACTTTGCAACCTTTTAAATTTATTTTTTGTTGAACCTGCTTAAAATAATAGTTTGCTCTTATTTGTCAGATTATAAATCAATGGCAGAATTAATCATAAATGGGTCATGTGATCACAAGCAATCATTTTTTTCCGCACTATCAGCCCAATCAGTGTGACCAATGAAATACAAAAGTGAGAGGAACATGTATTGGTGCCAAAAATTTAGAAGGATATCTACCATTCACATTTCATACATCTTAAGGCATTTCTGCCAGATTAAGTACTGCCAGACTGATATGAAGTAAATGTAAGAGAGCCAACTAGTTTCACCAAAGAGCTCAGAAATTAAGCACAGGGAGCCTTGAAAAAGTCTCACAGCCACTTCTTAAATTGAAAAGGAGAGAGCAGTGCATTAAAGGGTGCCAGTGTGATGTCAAGACTTCCCATTATGGAGGTGGCCTACAATGAAAAGAAAGCCAGACAGCAAGGCTTCTTCTAACACTGACAAGATACCAGTTCAGTAGGGTATCTTTCAAGTTAGATGGGTAGGAAAAAGTCTGCCTTGTCAGAATTTACTTTAGGGCTAAAAGTACTTGAAAGACTTCAGAGTCCTGGAGATGTTCCAGAATGGGTGATTGTAGCACAGAGAAATGGGATCATAGAATTCTTCCTAGAGCAAGCCACCAGCTACAATAACAAGTGAACACAGCTGGATTGTTTCCCAAACAAGTGAGCAGAGAAAGTCATCAGACCAAAGAAATGATATACAGCAGAAGGGGCCACTCTGGAGAATTAGAAAAATCAAAGAATATGTCACTCTCTGAAACAGAAGTACTACAGAATGTTCCAGAAAATATCTACTTTAGATATTCAAACATTCTGCAGAGTCACAGTGAAGGACTGATCTAAAATCAGGAAAGAATGTTTAAACATGAAAATTGTGATTGTGAATTTAACTATATTACAGATGGTGAAACACATGGAAAACTGCAGAATGAAAATAGTGAATGGAGTAACACACTCAAGAAACTCACCCAGAACTTAGAGGAGATATGTGAACATATGAAAAAAAGAGACAGCCAGCCACAACAGACCTAAGATACTCAATATGCTGATGACTGGAATCCCAGAAAAAGAGAGAGAAATAAAAGCTAAACACAAAATATGTACATAGAAAATTAAATAAAATACTGGGGCAAAAGGCACAAAAGTTTTCGGAGTGGAAGAAATAACCAAAAATTTAAACAAATCGAAGGTGTTTACTAAATATTGAAGAAAGTAATTGAGAGATCAATAAGTATCCAGATTAAAATGTAGAATTTCAATGATTGCAGAAAAAAATTAAAAAAAAAAACAGAAAAAAAATTTAAGTGTATCAAAATTTTCAAAGCACATATGTATTTTAAATTTTTCTAGATGCACAAAAATCTACAATAATTTCATGGTTACAGAACAATCACATTTTTCTCAGTAATTCTCTAGCCATGATTTTTTATTTTAGATTTGACTCCTGAAAATGCAGGTAACAAAAACAAAAATAGACAAATGAGATTATATCAAAATAAAAGCTTCTGCACAAGAAAGAAAAGAAATTAACTGTGAAGTTACAATCTATGATCTGGGAGAAAATATTTCCAAGCTTTACATCTGATAAAGGATTAATATTCAAAATATATAAGGAAATCAACTCTATAGAAAGAAAACCAATAATACAATTAAGAAATAGGAAAGGGACATCAACAGTCACTTCTCAAGTGAAGACTTAAAAATGGTTGACAGGTTCATGAAAGTATGCTCAATATCACTGATCATTAGGGAAATGCAAATTAAAACCATAATGAGATAGCCACTCACCCCTGTCAGAATGGCCTTTATCAGAAAGAGTAAAGATAACAAATGTTGGGGAAGATGCGTGGAATAGGGAACTCTTGTGCACTGTTGGTGGGAATGTAAACTAGTACAGCTATTATGGAAAGCTATATGCATGTTCCTCAAAAAACTAAAAATAGAATTACAATATGATCCATCAATTATACTGCTCAGTGTTTACCCAAGAGATTTGAAATCAGTATGTTAAAATCAGTATGTACTCCCATGTTTATTGTAGCAATATGTACAATAACCAAGTTATGGAATCAACCTATGTTTTCATCATCAGATAAATAGATAAAGCAAATGTGGCATATATGCACAATGGAGTACCATTCAGCCTTACAAAAAAAAGGAGATGTCCTGTCATTTTTAACAACATGGATGAACCTAGAGGACATTATACTAAGTGAAATAACCAGGCACCTAAAGCAAAACAGCATGTTCTCACTTATAACTAAAATCGAAATCAGTTGAACTCAGAGAAGCAGAGAGAAGAATGGTAGTTACAGAGGCTGAGAACTGGGGGAAATAGGGAGATGATAGTCAGAGGGTACAAAAGTCTCAATTAGATAGGAGAAATACCTTGAATAACAATGTATTGTACATTTCAAAATTGCTGAGAGTAAATTTCAGATGTTCTCACTACAGAAAAATAAGCATTTGAGGTGATGGATATGTTAATTAGTGTGATTTGCTCATTCCACATTGTATTCATAAATCATAACATCACTCTGTCCCTTATAAACATAAACAACTTTAATTTATAAATTTATAATTAAAATATTTGTAAAATACATAAAATATATAGACAATTACAATGTACTTGATTGAAAAATGAATTGACAACTATAAGAATGAGAAAATGTAGCTGTTATTTCATTATAATGGTCAACAATAAAATCCTTGAAACAATAAAGTTGTATTTTTGAAAGGATTGCTTTTTGGTTATAAATTAATGAAAATTAAAAATAAAACTTTGACTTAGGGTCTGGAATGTGCAACAGTAATAAAATATTATAATAGTTCCAGTCTAAATGTAAATTAGACATTAAAAAATAATAAATAGCGGGGGGAGTTTTTAAAAAAATGTAAAATCTGTTGATGTCTTAGGAGAATAAACAAATGTGTTAGCTCATAATTAGAAAATATGGATAAGCTTTTCTAATCATTTGAAGGCAAACACTAGTAGGAAAAAAGAATGGATACTTACCTTCAAAATCAATAGATGAAAAGGAGAAAAATAATGGGAAATGACAGAAAGCATAATGCAAACTTAGAGGACAAGCATATGTATTTTCCAATAACCTTAAATTATTTTTTTTTTCTTTTCAAATTTTTAAAAATTGTACTTTAAGTTCTGGGTTACATGTGCAGATCTTGCAGGATTGTTGCATAGGTACACATGTGCCATGGTGGTTTGCTGCCTCCATTTCCCCCCCCCCCGCCCGTCACCTACCTCAGGCATTTCTCCCAATGTTATCCCTCTCCAACTTCTCCACCCCCCACTGTCCCTCCGCTAGCCCCCAATCCCCCAACAGACCCCCGAGAGTGATGTTCTTCTCCCTGTGCCCATGTGTTCTCATTGTTCAACACCCACCTATGAGTGAGAATGTGCGATGTTTGCAACCATGTGGAAGATAGTGTGGCAATTCCTCAACAATCTAGAAATAGAAATTCCATTTGACCTTAAATTAATTTTTAAAGCCACAATAAAAACACAGTCTCAGAATGGGGTAAAAAATCAAAATCCAACAATATGCTTTCAACAAAAATGCAAATCTAAAGTGACAAATAGGGGATAATTTGAAAAACAAATTATGTGCTTGAATGCTTAGCACCATGAAATTGAT